TGATCACTATCGAGAATGAACTAAACATTGTTATAAAAAATGTAGTTACTGCGGAAGCTACCTAAAACCTATATCATCACCTCCGGGCTAGTACAGTTTTTGGTACGGTTTTTTACCATTGTGTTTCCTTGTGTCTATGAGACATAATATGTGGTTTTGATATTTCAGAAAGTTAGGTGATTCGTATTAATTCTATTTAAAGCTTAATAACTTAGCGGTTTAAGATTGCAGATTAAAGTTACTCTCAGAACTTGAATCGTCCAGAAATGGTCGCTTCTGACGCACTACAATGTTAATAATAAAATTAGTTCTTCATGATAAATAATAGCAACAACTAATATTTATTTGCAAAATAGTTTAATTATTAGTTGTAGAGAGTTAAATTTCATTAAAGAATTTATAACCCATTTTTGTCGACCAATGTCCACAAATCCAAGATTGTGTAAACTTCCCATAACAAATTAATGGCTAAGATTGAGATTTTATCAGCTGCTGACGAAATAAAAAATTCCTGAGTCAAAATTTTGAGTGCTCTATTTTTTTTGTTGAGAAAGTCTAAAGCTATTGCGGACTAACGACACCTGCCATACCGCGAAATGTTCTTAGGTTTTTGACTAAACGAATCGCTATTGCCTTTTGATTTCTATTATGCAACAATGAATGCTATAATGTTTTTTGGACGGATTTGAAATGACAAGTGCGTAATTGTTGTCGCTGTGTGGCTGAGTTGGTGTCAAATCTTAATTGGGTTAATACCACTGAACTTAGATTTTCATGAAAAATTGTACACAATAGTCAGATTATCCTCCAGAGCTGTCACTGTTCTTGAGTGTAGTACCCCTATTCCTCTAAAAAAATTCTTAAAGTGAATTTTTTGTAGTTATTTAGCTATTGTGTCAGTGTAGATTAAAGTAACGAAAGTCCACATCCTTGCTATCATTCAGACTACGAGACGCCCATACCCAAAAGCTAATTTTCTACATTTTCCATAAATATCACCTATAGGGTTACCTTGTGCATAATTTGATAAAACTTAATTTATATAGAAAATAACATATATAACATATGTATTAGTACTTCCATCCCTAGTAGGTAATAAAGTTGTAAAGTGTATATCACATATAAAGCAACATGTTGCTATATAAAAGTGTATTAAAACTATAATAAATTTTGCGAAAAAAATTACTTCTGGTCACGAAGGAAAATATTTACTTGCTGCCTTTGTACATCAAACTAAGGTTGATCAAGCAGTTTGTAGAGACAAGTGACGCATTTCAATTATTAAATACTAAATTTATTCGCCTTAGTGATGCTAGTTTCAAGAAAGGTGTCCTTGTGAGTCCCCAGATTATACAGCTTTAGATAGCCCCAGATTAGAAGATTCGTCGTTTAATGAGTGCCTGAATGGAAAATAAAAACGAGTTTACTTTGCATTCCAAAATATGTGTAAAAACTTTATGGGTAACCACAAAAGTAATAATTATGTCGCTCAGGTCGAGGAGTTGATTAGCGTACAATGCCATGGAATGTAACATACTCTTAACCCTCGGGCAGGCGCGTACTTTAGAATCACACGACCAGGCGCGTAGGGTATTCCGTACCGCATTTATATTTTTTAAATATTCTGTAACTTAAAATATTTTATTGTAAAATTTAGCATACTAAACAGTTACAAGCAACATTTTAATGTATAATTACTTTATTAACACATAAAAAAAACTTATACCTATCGTAAAAAAAGAAACCGACCGAAATATTTTTAGTATTCAAAATAAAAAAAAAATAAAATTTTGCGAAATAACAAAAACTAAATCATACCGAACATATTATAATAAAATAAACCAAACAGAACCTTTTAAATATTTCAAAAATATATTTTTAACCACTGGAAGAAGAAACTAAATGTTTAGTCTTCTTCTATAGGGAGATACCTACCGGTAATACAATTGATTAGTATACTATCACTGTAGTTTTTGAGAAAAAAATAGTTGTAAAAACTAGTAGTTTTATGGGTTTGACATACATGGCAGGGACCAACTCGCTTCTTATTGTCTCTGTCTAGTACCTTTACCTCTTGAGTATATTTAGCGAGGACAACTTGGAAATCTCTGGGAAGAGTTTGTATACTGGGCCCTTTCCGTCATTACTACAGGTTATATAACGTTATTTAACACATTATTATAAAATCAATCAAAAAAATTAATTAACAATTTAAAATTACTTATGAAAACTATTTTATTAACATAAACGGGCGCGAACTTCTGTAGTTGTTATGGTGCGTTTAGACTTGAGCACGGACGAGCTGAGCGTGCGCGCACGGCATTCGTTCGCGCTCTCGGCTCTGTTCAAATTAAAAACTTATTTTTCGACGAATGAAGTGATCCATTTTTGCGCGGTTGTGGGTTGCAGAGTTGTGTACAGCAGAGTTCTGTTGTTCGAAAATAATGGACGACCAAGAAATAGTCGAGGCTGCAGTCATTGTTATGCACAACTTTTGTTGCACACTTTTATGCAGAACATTGTTGTCACAACCCAAATTTTTAGAAATCGATATAATTTACTGCAACAACTTCGTGTCTGAGGAAGGCTATGATCAGTTCAAAAACTTTACAAGAATGACCAGACTCGACTTTGAATATTTACAAAATTTAATTACACCAAAAATTACAAACAAAAAATACAAATTTTAGAATAGCAATTTCATTAATATCGAAATATTCAATATTCATTTTATTTACAAGATCTTTCTATGCGTTTTTTTTTTATTTTATAGTAATACAAAGAATGTTTAACATCCCATAATATCGGCAACTTTTCATATTCTTCAATTAATAATAACGAAGATTCATTGATCCACTCCATAATTTTAATAAAGAAAACGAAAAAAGTCACACACGCACGCACGAACGCAGGCAAAACAAATTGCCGGTGCAAACTGAGCGTTCGCGCACACCGACACAAAAACCGACACCAGACGGCTCACGTTCGCGGCTGCTCGCGCACAGACAGATTCAGAGTGAGCGTGCGCGCACAGCCGTTTAAACTTGAGCATTCGCGGAGGATCAGTGCGTGCGTGCTCAAGTCTAAACGCACCATTAGGTTTACGACAGAATAGGCACTGAACCAAAATCGCTGGATACATAACTACTACGACCCAGGGTGTCAAATATTCCTAAATAACCTAATTTAGTGACACCACCGATCTACGTCCAGTGGATATTTTGTTATAACGAAATTAGTAAAATTGCGGTACAAAATTCCGGACGCGGCCGCTCGAGGGTTAATGTGCATTTCCTTCACTCGCACCTAGACTTCTTTCATAAACATTTAAGAATAGTCTCGGATGAACACGGGGAACGGGTCCATCAAAACATCGCTAAGTTAGAGAAGACATTTTCAGGGAATTGCAAGCATGTTGGCAGAGTACTACTGATTTTTGGAACGAGAGAGTTAAAAATATACGAGCAAATTATGCTGTAAAGCAACATCTATTGTTGGTGTTGAAGAAGCTGAAGAGACGTTTATGATTGAAGAAGCTAAAGAGACTAATGTTAATATATGCCGCAACTAAATAACTACAAAAATTTTAGCTTTAGGTGAATTTGTTCTGCGAGGCATCACAATTGCACTTAACTTGTTGCTGGTTACAGACATACTGAGTTTAGCTGCTAATTGTTTTTGCTACTTATTATTACTGTTAGAAAACATATTAGGTAAAGATAACTCATACTTAATAATTTATTATTATTTATAAATATGTAAATAGAAAATTACAAATGGTGAGAATATCGGTAAAAATGTTTCCTAAAATATATTTGTTTCTTCTCGCTGGTTCGGCTATTTAAAAATAAATTCAACAAATTGCAGAAACTTTTAAATAACAGTTAACAGTCCAAACTATTGTTAAGAAATATAAGATTCGCTTATCTCTTTTTCGATTTCTTACTAGAAGTAAGAACTTTTGTCCAATATGTTATGTTATTTATCGTATCTCAATCACCCGTATAAAACCAGACATATTAGCGATAGTATTTGAAATTAAATAATGACAGAGTATTAGATGAACCTAAACGCAGTTTTCTCAATCCATTAAATTGGCTGTGGTGTATCTAAATCCTCTTTCAACCATTTATTAGTATTAAAGCTGGACCTTGCATTTTCTGTTGTCTTATATATAATTTGAACAACAGTATCATAAGAATTTAAATAAAATTACATCCAGTCCTAAACTAAATTAACCCTACTATAGACTTTTGATAAAGGTATATTTTTATCTACATATTGTTCATCAAACAGTTTCGTATTTTTTTACAATTTAATAGAAATATACAACTATCTACAAAATATTTTTTAAATGCCAAAATTTCTCTGTATATTCTTTCTCTATAAATAGATCTCTAAATATCTATAAATTAATATTTTAGTTATTAATCTAATACGGTTACACATCAGTTTACAATATGAAAGGAAAAGTCCTTAAAAGTACAAAGTTTAAATCCTTCACTACATCCTTTTCATATTCTCAAATAGTAATTCTATACAGGGTGAGTCTTAAATATGTGCAAATATTTTCAGGGCTGGTAGATCTCGATAAAAGAAACATATTTTCTCTTTACCATTTTTCAAGTGAGTCCAAAATAATCTTTTTACAGTGCCATACTCTATACAGAGTGTCGGCTACCTCTCGCATGTACTTGTGATGTGTGTCATCTGTGTCACAAGTACACAGGACCTACAGTTTATCACCGAATTCGAACGGCACTGTTTAAGAGGCTGTATATGCTTGTATCCAAAATAACCGAGTTATTTTATTTTGAAATTTTCCAAAAAAATGATTTTTTGTTAAAATTTTGAGAACCACTGGATCTTTTGTGGATTTTCCTTCTTGTAAATTTAATCTACTACCTATGTTGCTATATTATCAAAAAAATCATATTTAGTTAAAAAAAACGTTTTCTAACTAAAAACTAAAAAACAATCCAAATTAAAAAAAAACTCGTGTTTCTGCTCTTATTTAAGACTCACTGTGTATAATAGGTATAACATAATTTAAGATGTTCTTAAATCTATAAATTTATAAGAATTGTTGGCATAAATTTTTCTATATTTTATATTATAAAGAAATGGATACAGTTCCCATTTTTCCTTATTGGTATTTTTGTCACAAGATCAACAAAAAACACCTTTTGTTGGAAAAATTTACAAACACGTTTCGTGGTCTCAAAATATACTCAAAATTAAAATGAACGAAATATATTTGTTCTTGTCAATTCTTATGATCCACAATATATTCTTATGTTTAATCGTTATGGAATAAAAATTAAGAAAAATATTTATTATTTGAAAAATGGGAATTGTAATTTATTCACCCACGCCACATCTCTATAAAAACATTAATTAAATATCTATTATTATACTAAAACACAACATAAATAAATTCTTGACTTACTCAATTTTCACTTTATCTGGCTAATACTGGCATTTCATGTGTCACGCCTCTAGTTATTACAATCTGAAATCAAAAAAAATCTAAGATTATATGTTATACGAGTGTCACTAATTGCAATTTTTTAGTGCCTGTACATTTGACATATAAAAATGTCAACTACGTGTGTTGTAAGTAGATCAGTATGCGTTTAAAAGTGTCTAAGAACTATCGGTACTTCTTATTTTGAAACAATTATAATAATGAATAATGACGTGTGGATACGACAAAAGACCCAGGGAATAGATGTCATCCGCAGAATCAAATCCCTCAAGTGGCAATGTGCAGGACACCTGGCAAGAAGGACGGACAACATATAAACCACAAAAATTACAGCATGGTACCCATGAGCAATTAAGAGACCTAGAAGATAATCAAACCTGAGATGGGACCATTATATTAGGAAATTGGCAGGGATAACTTGGGCCCGCATATAGCCAACAATAAACAACAATAGGCCCAACTACAAAGAGAGTATCTAAATATGTGAGCTACACCATAATTATTGGAAATGGTTGAATAAGCTGAAAATGATGATGACCCTCCAATTTCAATATATTATAAAAGTTGGGACTGCAACCCCACTAAATCCTAGATTTTCTTTCTCACTAGTCAGTCGAGACTACTTTCTGCCTATATATATATATATATATATATATATATATATATATATATATATATATATATATATATATATATATATATATATATATATATATATATTATAATTAATGGCATTAATTTGCAATAGCACCTCGAACCAGTTCATTATGGAGCCAGATTCATTATGGAGCCATAACAGTTTCATTATGGATTAGAGATTAAGCCAGATTAAACCAATCAGAATGAGTATTATGTTACCGTAAAAGCCTGAATATTGGTTAAACGTAGGGTTACCCACGTAGGAGCCCGAAATATGCAAAAAAGGTTTAAGCACTTTAGGTTAAGTTTAGATTAGGCCTATATTTTTATTAATGCAAAACCAACTAAAACCTAATTCTAATCTAACCTAAACTCATCCCCTCTTTTGCATATTTCGGGCTATTACCTGGGTATTTCTAGGTTTAACCAATATTCGAACTTGCGGTGTAAATTTATGGACGGTCCATAAATTTATAGTTACTGTAGATAAAAATAAATTAAAATATAGTTCCACGATAATTTAGTTTGCAGCTTCTTTTCATCATACCTAGTAAAAACCCGTCACAACCACTATTCATAGTATGTATACCTATGTATTTTTAAACATCATTATGAGATTTAAGTCATAGGTGCCCATAATATGAGTAGCGGTATTGACGGTTTTTTGTTATGATGAAAATGTTGTGTGATATGAAAAAGCAACAAAATATATTATCGATTGCAGCAACTATACCTAGTTTACATTCAGTATATCCAATTAATATAGAACATTATACCTATGCATGATTTTAAAAATTTGCTACCGTTATATTTTGATAGTTGAGTTTTTGAAATTATTTGTTAGCTTCTTAAACAAAACAGACCCATAATAATTCAAATCTTAATCATCCAAGACTTCCAAGAATTATAAAGTAATCTCACGTCAAAATTTTTTAAAATTATTGCATGCCTTAAATGTTTGCAAAGTTAACAAAAATAGGTCTTTGATTACCTGCAATTAATATATTTGGTATTTATCAGTTCTGCATCATATCCGAAATTCAGATTGTGTGTGACACAACGAAGAGTCAACGTGCAACGTGAACGACAAGAAAATAGCAAGTAAAGAAAATTGTAAAGTCTTAATTACTAATTACACAGTCGTTCTCTTAAGTTCTCCTGCCTAAAATCTATGTTGTCTTCCCTAAGATTTTAAATATAAATAATAGAAACTCATACAAGTTTACCACAATTTAAACTTAAGATAATTATATTAAAATATAACACTTACGAAGTTACTAAATATTAACTATTTCTACTTAATCATTTAATAATTCTGATAAAAACACGCTTGATTATTTATTTTAGAAATCATACGGGCTATAATCATTAATATGACTATATTAACAATACTTAAATCAAAATTTATTTGTAGGAATGCTACTGTATTACAATAATTGTAAAACAAGTATGTAATAATAACTCGGAATAATTATTAAAAACTGCTCATCTTGTTATAGATGTCGGCGTCTTGTCTGTATGAAGCTCCGCGCGCACTGCACCGGATCGGGCCGGCGAGAAACGGCGAAGGCGATGACTCGACTATCGTAGATAGGTAGAGGTAGGAATCTGGCCTCTACAGGCCGAAATGTTTTAGTGGACGCCGGCGCCGTCTATATGTACGATGGTCGCAGTCGCTTTTGCTGGTCGGTCCGATCCAATGCAGTGCGCGCGGAGCCTTATTTTATTAGCCGTTTAGCTATAGTTTGATTTCAGATAATGCATTTTAATGTGCCATTTGTGTTTTTTATTGGAATTATTATTTTTAGCATATTTGGTATACTCTATGCAGTTATTTTTAAGTGCTCCTGTCCATTTTTTAATTATTAAAGTGCCTTTAGATACAATTAAAATTAATTAATTGGTGTATAGTATTTGTATTATGGGTTTGTTTATTTTTTATGAAATGATTTTTTTTCCTATTAAAATAAACATAGCTTACTAAATCACTAGATAGCCATTTTTAAATACAAGATGTTAATTAATATCTGGCCAAACTTCAGGAGGTGATTGTTTGAGTGTTTTTAAGGTAAAAATTTCATATAAACATGTGTCCGGAAATGTATAATTTTAAAAATACAGGGGTGTCAAGGTGTTTTCTAATAGACCTTTTTTATTAATATCTCAAAGATCCGTTGGCCGATTTTGTTGAAATTTCGCCGTGTTGTGAAATTTAATAAGTTATAAGTAAATAGCACTAATTAAATGATAATTATTATTTACAACAATATTTAAACGATAAAAACTTATCCCAATAAATATTTAGCACCGCCTTGAATTCATTTGTTTTTACTGTTGGCGGTGGAAACCATGCAAGCTTTTTCTTTGCCCTAAGTTGTTAATTAAAAAAATAATTATCATATAAAAAAATATAGGTCCTAATAGCCTAAATTTTATCAAAATATATCAGCAGATCCGATGAGACCCGAATTATTATATGTTTTGGAACTTAATGATTTAATTAATTATTCCCTTTAATGCATCGATTGTGCGCATTATCCTACGCGCCAAGAAAATATATTGCATTAGTCTAAATTTATTATTTATGTTATTCCGCTCTTTCACGTATAATTTGAACCCTGCTTCTCATACGGAAAGAGTTAGATTAAAATAGTCCAACTGTACCTAACAACCCATGCCTTGACGCCATATTCTTTTTTATAATACTATCGGCTATCCCAGACTAAACATCCATATCCATAAAATAGTTGGCCCACACTAATAAGACCTCATTTCGGCCCTCGGACGACCTTGCTCTATTCAGCTATCGACTTACGTGTTGACAAGTTAATTAGGCAGGTTATTGAACTCCATATCGCTTCTAGCATGTCGTTTTTTCAAAGATGGGTCCCATATAAACGCGGCCAGAAGTATTTTCAGTACTAAAAATAAACTCACACAAAATTTAAATGTGTACCAAATTCACATTTGTTTACATGCTAGTGATCACAAGAGAAGATTACAATTTTGCAAATGGTTTCGGGAAAGTGTTCAAGAAAGCCCCCTTTTATAGCAAAATATTATGGACGGATGAATATTTATTTACAAATTCTGGTACATTTAAAAGAAAATAAAATTGCCATTATTATACAAAAGAAAATCGTCATTTAATTAGAGAAACCAGACTACAAATAATCTGATTTGGTGATATACTGATATGCTTTGAACAAAGTTCAAGGGATATGAGTCATTTTAATATATTTCCTTGTATTGAACTCTACTATACAATTTTTGTGCTTCCAGATTTGACACTTAATAGAAAAAACAAAAAATAACTTGCTGACATATAAAGTGTCAATTGGATTTCTAAGGCAGACTTAGGCGAATTTTTAAAAGACTATTTTTTTAGGGAATTTACATAATAATGAATAAAAATTAGATTCCACCGTATAGACTTTTTTTCGCTCTATCTAATAGTATTAAAATTCAAAATGACAGCCATAAGAAAACAAAAACTTGGCTGTTGTTGTGCGAAATCTGGAAGGCTTAGAAATTTTCTGAAAACGGCATTTAACTGGCTGAGGTAAAAAATATAAAACTACCAACTTACGTTGCAATAGATTAAACAGTTTTGAAGATATTGTCATTTAAAATAAACGTATTATTTTCATTTTTTTGACATAAATCCGAAACTAATCAAGATACCGGGGTTTTCTTCATAGGTGTTTGTCAAACTTCTAATTACGCAACTTTTGTCCCATTTAACCGACTTCGTATCTCTTGTAGTTTCTGAGATGCCAATGTTGAGCATCGAAATTGTCACCACCCTGTATACTAGGTACCTACCTAAATTTTATTAACGTACCTGTTGGGTATTTGCTCACCATTGACTATGTGTACAAAATGTACTAACTGAGTTTTAATGATTAAATATAACATATCTCGCCATCTGACGGCAGACGGACGTATCGTATCATCTACGTCTACGCATTGTACCGCCAGAATATATCGAGAGGCCTGCTTCATCAAACTTTCTAAACATTAACCCTAGATGGAGCTGCGTTTACAAAATGCAAGGTCTATAGAACATGATATGGGAAATTTAAACGAAATTAGGACATGCAGTTCGTCAGTTGCGCAGATTTTTGCTTCGAAGTTCGAAAGCACCACTATCATAAAACTTTCTTATCATATTATACTTTATGTCCCGGGATCGTCTTTACAAGAGGAAAAACTTTTTTATTATTAATTTTTAAGAAAAATGCACTCTTCTTAAAAGTTCTTCTTTGGTTCTAATGGTTAATTCCGTTTTACTTTTTCAAATTTGTCAACCCTCCCAGAAAAATAATAAAAAAATTGAGAATAAGGTTGAATGAATTTTATATGGTCAAATAATCAAAACGGGT